TCGCAGCGGACCGGAGACGAGCCTGACAGGCTGTGTGCTCAAACCGCCAAGGGTTCGCCTCCCTCGTTCGTGCACTCGGGAGGAGGTCACGAAATGAACCCCCCCTCCCCCCCGACCCGGAAATGCCCCGTCACCTATAAAGGGGGACATTTTCACGTCTTCCTCCACTTACGGCCATACTACCCTGAGAACGCCCGATTTCGTCCCATCTCGGAAGCTAAGCAGGGTCGGGCCTGCTTAGTACTTGGATGGGAGACCGCCTGGGAATACCAGGTGCTGTAAGCTTTTGCACCCACCTCCAATTCGCTACACAAATCACCGCTCTTTCCTCAGAATTATCACTTTCATTTGTCATTCAACTGTCACTTACTGTGTGGTTTCAAATCGTTTCAGTCACTTTGATTTGACAGATCAACGTCTTTTTGTAATATTATTTTCCAACAGAGGGAGCCCTCTGCACGTGGTTCGGTCATGACAGCACTTGGTTGGGAAGCAGCATGGGAATACCAGGTGCTGGCAGCTTTTGCACCCACCTGCACACATAAACACTCTTTCACGTTATTTTTTGCTTTCTTTTCTCCATTTTTTCACCTCAGCCTTAACCTGGGAGACCCACAACATTGGGCTGTTATTTTTAAAGTTGTTGTAATGGCACTTGCACAATTTTTTCACCGAAAGAAGAAGGAGGCCGTTTGGTAAGGTGAAAATGATCCGTTCACTAGTTTGCAAAGTTCACAAAACTAAAGTCTTTCCTGACCAAGTGAGTTTCTTTGACCCAACTTGAGCACTGGCTTGTATTTGACAATATAAAGTGCTACTTGCTTGTACAGTCAGACAGACATAATCAACCTGATATGTGAACATAGAGAAGTTCTAGCGTCAAAATTAGAACTGAACTACAGTTGAACTTTGATCACCAACACCTGAACTCCATTGACCTTTGAACATCAACACTCAAATTTCAACATTTCGGGCATCTTCTCTGCATGTGCTTGTGGCAGATGATGTGTGTTGCATATGCCACAGAGTTGTGAAGCACATGTCACCTTTTCAGTACAAAATCTACATCTTCGTCTTTTGCGTGGTGTGTCACTTGTTGCTGCACTTCCTTCTGCTGCTCATGCCTGCTGGGGACCCGCTGAAAGAAGTGCTGCCCCAACTTCCTTCAGGAAGAGCCGACGCTTGTACAGCTTCCCCTGGTTCCAGCTGGGCTCCACGTGTGTGTATAATACGTATGAGTTGAAGCAGGAAATGTCCTGCATCTGGTAGAACACACACATGGGCCACCTTGTTGCCCGGCGGCGGCATGAGTAGGTGCCACATGCCTTCAATTACACACACACACACACACACACACACACACACACACACACACACACACACACACACACACACACAATGATGTCAGATGCCAAGAAGCTTTGATGCAAAGTTTTGACAAAGACAAAACCTGTGGTTACCTGGTCCAGGTGATCTACTGCGCCTTTCCTCTTGTTGTAGTCGAGGATGATGGTGGATTTTTTCTTGGGCCCATCATCCACCTCGATATCTCTGTGCCTTGAACTCAACAGCAAGACAGTTTTGGGTTTTTTTTGGGAACGTATGACACCAGGGTTATGTCACGAGTGAACGCAAACTTGCTCGACAGCGGTGGTTGATTGCGGTACAGGAGATTTGGTGGAATTTCCCCTTTATTTTTCCTCAGTGTTCCTACCAGCGCCTTGATCAACTCCTACGCGAGGGGCGAGGACGTAAAAAAATTGTCCGTTGTCACGATGTGTCCCTCGAGCACAGTGTTTTTCAACCCATGTGCCGCGGCCCACCAGTGAGACATGAGACATTTTCAGGTGTGCCACGGGAAAATATCCAATTTGTATGCCTGTGCGGTCTTTCGCCCAGAAAGTAATCATGTAGTACCCTCCCATACCGCTAGGGAGCAGCAACAGCTAGCTAGCCAATTCCCTTGTGTTTCGATGAGAGACAAGCAAATTTGTGACGCATGAATGCAGGAAGACGGTGAAACAATAAATATGAAAGATGATAAAATACTGTTTTCTTTGTGTTCATTTGATTCCAATTCAAGCTGTTATAACGTCATTCTTCAATGTTAAAAACGGTTATTGTAACAATATAACACGTTAATTGTTAAAATAAGCGGGGGGAGGGGGGGGTTCACGTTTTCAGCTAGTGGTGTGCCGCGAGATTTTTTTCAATGAAAGAAGTGTGCCTTGGCTCAAAAAAGTTTGCAAAACACTGCTCTAGCGTGTCGCACAGCCTGAGGACAACATTCATCCCCCAGTTCGTTTCCCTCGGCGCTCCTGCAGCTTTCCCCGTGTTGATCTCCATCTTCCACGCGTATGCGGTGGCTGCATCTTACAGTGTCCACATTTTTTGTCCATATTTGGCCGGTTTAGAAGGGCTGTATTGCTGAAATGAGCAGCGGCCTAGAAAGGAGACCAGCTGCTCATCGACGCAAACATCCCTTCCCAATATGAACATCTTGCTGTGCAAGTGGCTCCACATCTCCCACACGTCGCTGATCGGCGCCAGCTTGTTTTGTAAGCGGCGCGGCTAGCTTGTCGTCAAAGTTTTGCGTTCCATTGCTTGAACCGATGATGGGTCATTGCCTCAGCGAAGATCGGGCGTCCTTTTTTTAACCCATAAGCTAAAAGTGGCTTCATGCTGAGATCGATACACTCCTGCCAGGATCAGCAGCCCGATAAATGTGCGCAGCTCCTCTGTCATTGTGTCCTTTCAGAAATTTGTAGTGCGCCGCCCTTCAAGGTTCGTCATCTTGACGATGTGGCTCAAAATTTGGTTCGTGAAAGGGGCTGCTGATCCTGGCCAGAGCTATCAGTTGAGCAACACGAAAGCTAGCTCGAACAGATGACTGTTCCAGCTGAGTTTGGCGTACAAATGTATTTTGCTGAGCTAGGATTCCACTTTTTAGTTTTGACAGTTTGCTCGCATTTGTCCTTGCAAGCTCTCGTATTTGTCATTGTGACGGGATTCATAGTGTCTCTGCAGATCGTGTTCTTTGAATACCGCCACCGCCTCTTGACAGATGAGACAGACAGCCTTTTCTTTGCGTTGAACAAAAAAATAATTGTTTGTCCACTTAGGGTTAAATACCCTTGTCACGTTTGCGAGGTGGTGGTGGACCCAAAAAAGCAGGCAGGAGGGAGAAGCAGGGTGTACTTGAAGAGTTGTATTAAAACATAAGAGATAACTAAATCCAAAACAAACAAAGTCCAAAGTATCAAACAAAACACATGACTGAAGATAAAACATAACAATGACCAAAACCTGACTGAAACAAACATGACAGTAGCCAACAAACAGCAACAAACATGATAGTAGCCAACAGCAACAATGACCCGACCATGAGTGGTCTGGAGGGAGTCCTTTTCTAGAAATAATTGCATAGCGACCAACAGGTGTGTAGCTGTAGGGAGAGCCCTACAGTACCACCTGTTGGTCACAAAAAGAATCATGACAGTACCCCTCCCTCAAGGGACGGATCCCAGAGGTCCCAAAGTTGTCCAAAGGCTTGCCTCGCCGGGGAACGGGAACAAAAGTGACGACAACCTTCACCTCGCCGGAAAACAGGAACAACAAGCGACGGCAACCCTTTGGCTGGGCGTGACCCGACATGGACGGAGCTCGACGTAGCGGGGGGACATGGGACAGCCAGATGTGAACAGGGGCTCGGCCTGATGTGGGCGTGGACGTGGCACAGCCGGATGTGAACAGGGGCTCGGCCTGATGTGGGCGTGGATGTGGCACAGCTCGTCGTGGACGTGAATGTGACTCAGCTCAAACAGACACGTGACGAGCCTCAGCTCAACGTGGACGCGGACGGGGCTCGGACCACTGTAGACGTGGCTTGACGAGACAAAAACATGGGACAGCCGCATCACCAGCGCTGCCTGACGGGGGAACATGGGACAGCCGAATCACCCGCGCTGCCTGAAGGGGGAACATGGGACAGCCGCATCACCAGCGCTGCCTGAAGGGGAAAAGGGTGTCGGCCGCAGACGTGCTCTGCCAGGCACATGTTGGAATAGGGACCAGTCCTTGGTACCTGCGGGGTCCAGGTGGTCGGGTCATTATGTCACATTTGCGTGGTGGTGGTGGACCCCAAAAAGCAGGCAGGAGGGAGGAGCAGGGTGTACTTGAAAGATTGTATTAAAACTCGGAAAACTAAATCCAAAACAAAGTCCAAATTATCAAACAAAACACAGGACTGAAGATAAAGCATAACAATGACCAAAACCTGACTGAAACAAACATGACAGCAGCCAACAAACAGCAACAAACAAGCATGACAGTTGCCAAGAGCAACAATGATCCGACAATGAGTGTTTGGGCAGCAGTCCTTTTATACAACTAATTACCCAACGACCAACAGGTGTGCAGCTGCAAGGGGAGCCCTACAGTGCCACCTGTTGGTCCCAATCCGAATCATGACAACCCTGCATTCTGCATCTATTTTTCTCTTACCTAACCTTTTCGCCATGATCCCGTTCTCTTTGAGAGGGGCGTGATTAGGATTTTTTTCTGGGGTTGCCAGATAACGGCACAGACCGCAGAAAGATGCACCAAATGTCATGTTGTAGTATGTGTTTATGAAATAGTTACTACCGTATTGGCCCGAATATAAGACAGTGTTTGTTGCATTGAAATAAGAATGAAAAAGTGGGGGGTCATCTTATATTCGGGGTCTAGACATTATACCCATTCACGACGCTAGATGGCACCAGATATCATTGAAGCGAATGCTGAACTTGACTCCTCAGACCAAGTGAACCCCTGTCACGAAGAATAAGAATAAAAATAGCGGTAGCACGAAGAAGAAAAAATAAAAATAGCGGTAAGAAAGAAAAGAGAAGAAAATAATAGAAGAGACAAAAGAAAAAGGAGAAACGTAGCGACAATCTGGAGAAAAATGGGTCGAAGATCGGCCAGGTTAACCGGCAGCTGAGGAGAAGTTATGATGTAATTTACATTTCAAAAACCAGAAGCCATTCATTTACAAATGTGATTTACATATTTAAATGTTCAGATATTAAGATTTGAATGAGGCAAAATAACATGCTTTTTCTCTCAAATATATTGTTATAATTATTTGTTTCAGATGTACTATAATTATTTTCTGTATAAAAATTAATTTGGTGTTCAAAAAGTCATTTTTCAAACTTGAGTTTTGAAAAAGAGGGGGTCGTCTTATAATCAGGACCATCATATATTCGGGCCAATAATGAAAATAGTTCAGCACTAAGGAACATTTTCTTGCAAAAGCGCAACTTTATTATCAAATACAAATCCACATAGATGAAAAATAAATCAAAATACTCTCTGATATTGTTCAGGGGGGCCGTAACAAATGCAGAGACGGGCCGGATCCGGCCCTCGGGCCGTAGTTTGGGGGCCAATACTTTAAACCCTCACAATGTGTGAAGAATCTGGGTGTGAGCTGAGCTTATTTTTTATCCCTCATTAAAAATGTAACTAAGTTTGTTATTTATTGTCTTACTGTAGGTATATAGCCAGAGTCCACCCGTTTCTCTCTCAGGCCATGGGCGTCATTAGGCCTATTTTAGGGAGGCTTCAGCCTCCCTAAAAATGTCTTTAGCCCCCCTAAATAATTTTATTGCATTATTTAAAAAAAAGTATTATTTATTTTTCCTGTACTTTTGCGAATATATTGCATCAAATTCAATGTAATGTGGCCATTTTAAATTATATTTCGATAACCTGCCATTATTGTAATATTAATCTCCCAGGATTCCTGAACGCAACAGGTGTTGCGTTAGCATTTGACGTGTCTGTCACCATCTCCACATCAAATGCTAACGCAACAACTGACAGTTCATTGCCGAAAGTCAGGTTGAGTCGACAGCATGGATATTCGACAGTTTTTTAGAAAGGTAAATTAAGTATTCAATGCATCCATGCTGGTAATAAATATATATAAAATAAATAAATGTATTTATTTGATAGGAATCAGGCTAAAGACGCACAGAGAGTGAGCCGGGAGGGGGGTGGGGGGGGGGCTCTGCTGGATAGGTGAGTCTATCAGATCTCAAGGCTAATTTTACTTGCAAGGCTCTTCCCAAAATGCAATCGGAGCTTACACTCAGTATTGAGCAGCAAACTTGTGTTTTTCCAAAGTGATGAAGCTTTTGCATCTCATTGTACTAACTTAAATTGCATATCACGGCAGACATCTCAAAATACATAGTCTTCTGGGGGCTCAGCATATATTAATACATTTTGGTAGAGAGGAATATAGGCCTACTGTCATATAGGTTATGTTATCGGGCATCCTTTTAATTCCCTTGAACAACCAAGATTGAACTTTTGAACTCTTTATAATTTCTATTATCTAGTCCAGTTAAAGTCCAGGGGAGGAAGCCCCATCATAGTAAAGAGGATACTAATGTGATGTGTGTAGTTCTTCATAGCCTCTTCATTTTGCTCTCAAAGTGCACGGAATTGATGGATTTTTAACAGAATGTAGAAAAAAATTGGGGCTAAGCCCCCCTTGTTCTTGAAACCTAGTGACGCCCCTGTCTCAGGCTAACACAAAGTTGCTGATCCATGCTTTTATTTCCTGTTATTTGGATTATTGTAATGACCTGTTCCCTCGTCTTCCCAAAAAGAATATTTCCATTTTACAATTGCTCCAGAACTCTGGCGCCAACAATCTTAAGCATCTGACTAATGCCTTCCGGGACATTGATCCAGGCATCAACTCAGGAGGCTCAGTGCATAGCACTGCAGTCCAGTGGGCGAGTGGTTCGTGCATCGACCTCACAGTGCAGAGGTACCGGGTTCGATAACAGCTCCAACCTTCCTTTGTGGAGTTTGCATGTTTTCCGGGTACTGTGGTTTCCTCCCACATTCCAAAAACATGCAGAGCAGGCTGATTGAACACTCTAAATTGTCCCTAGGTGAGAGTGTGAGCATGGATGGTCGTTCGTCTCTGTGTGCCCTGCAATTGGCTGGCAACCGATTCAGGGTGTCCCCAGCCTACTGCCTGAAGACAGTTGGGATAGGCTCCAGAACCCCGCCCCCCCACTCCCCCGTGACACTTGTGAGGATAAAGCCGATTGGAGAATGGATGGATGGATCAAAGTTCGCTGTACATCGCATGGCCTCATTTTTCACAATGGTAATCCCTAGATAGATAACCTTTTCTTTAATTGGGATGTGACAGACCAAAGTCTCATTAGAGTCATGGACAGAAAACAGTTCACATTTGTTCAGATTTCGGTTGAGTCCAGGGGCTGCTGAGAATAGTTCGACGGTTTTAATCGCATCAAAGACTTGGCTAGAATTGTTCAGGAATAAGGTAGTGTCATCCGCAAGCTAGCTAATCAAGATTTCTGTACCTGCAATAGATATCCTTTGGATAGCACTTCTTTTCATATGACAAATGAGGAGTTGAGTGTTTGTAATGAAGTCTTCGTGTTTGTAATGAAGTCTTCATCAAGCAACCCCATAAGTGCCCAGGCTGTTCTCTCAACCAATGAAAGAGCAGGATTTCAAAGAGAAACAAAGCTCAAAGAAATTCAGCCAGCAATGGTGACTTTCACACACGCGCGTGCACACGTGTATACACTTTGTTAGCATTCCCACTTGTCGCTGAAAGGTTGTTCTTTTCCAGAAAGAGCATGTATGTGATGCGAGCAAAATCATTACCCAGCCTGCACCGCCACCTGGTGGAAAATGGGAGTTTCTGTGTTCCACAGACAAAAATTTTTCCATGTTGTTGAGTCAACACTGAAGCGATTGTCACCAAAATCACGGGAAATGCACGGAAAAACGTCAGGATTACATAGAATTGAAAATGGCCGTTTATAATGGGAGTCTATGTGCCAAAAATGGAACATTTGAAACAAACGTGTTTCAAATTTGGATCTCATGCAAGGAATCATTTAGACTAGGGGGTCCAAACTTTCATGATCGACTTTTGAAGCGACCCGATCGCGCACGTGCAAACATACACACGCACGCACACACGCACGCGGGCGCCCAACGATGCACAGGTGCTGTCATGATTCTGTTTGTGACCAACAGGTGGCACTGTAGGGCTCCCCCTGCAGCTGCACACCTGTTGGTCGTTATGTAATTAGTAGTTTAAAAGGACTCCCGCCCGACCATTCATTGTCGGGTCATTGTGGCTGTTTGTGTTTGCTACTGTCATGTTTGTTCTCAGTCATGGTTAGTTTTTGCTTCAGTCATGGTTTTGTTTACTACTTTGGATTCTTTTTGTTTTCAGGACATTGTTTGTTTAGGATTTAGTTTTCTGTGTTTTATCAATACACTTCAAGTTCACTCTGCTCCTCCCTCCTGCCTGCTTTTTTTGGGGTCCATTACCACAACCTCGCAACGTGACAGAATGACCCGACCACCTGGACCCCGCAAGTAAAAAGGACTGGTCCCTATTCCACCATGTGCCTGGCGGAGCACGTCTGCGGCCGACACCCTTTTCCCCTTCAGGCAGCACTGGTTATGCGGCTGTCCCATGTTTTCGTCTCGTCAAGCCACGTCTACGGTAGGCCGAGCCCGGTCCGCGTCTACGTTGAGCCGAGCCTCGTCACGTGTCTGTTCGAGCTGAGTCACATTCACATCCATGCCGAGCCGTGCCACGTCCACGCCCACGTCAGGCCGAGCCCCAGTTCACGTCCGGCTGTCCCATGTCCCCCGTTACGTTGAGCTCCGTCCACATCAGGCCAAGCCCAGCCAAAGGGTTGCCCTCGCTTTTAGTTCCTATTCTCCGGCGAGGCAAGGGTTGCCTACGCTTTTAGTTTTTGTTACCCGGTGAGGCAAGCCTTTGGACGACTTTGGGACGTCTGGGATCTGTCCCTTGAGGGAGGGGTACTGTCATGATTCTTTTTGTGACCAACAGGTGGTACTGTAGGGATCTCCCTACAGCTACACACCTGTTGGTCGTTATGCAATTATTTCTATAAAAGGACTCCCTCCCGACCACTCATGGTCGGGTCATTATTTGTGTTTGTTTGCTTGTTTGCTTCTGTCAGGTTTGTTTCGGTCACTGTTATGTTTTAGATTCAGCCATGTTTTTTGTTTGATACTTTGGACTTTCTTTGTTTTGGATTTAGTTTTGTCTGTTTTAATACAATTTGTCAAGTACACCCTGCTCCTCCCTCTTGCCTGCTTTTTTGGGGTCCACCACCACCGAGCATTGTGACAGGTGCGCATAAGCACACGCATGCCACGATGAGAAACAGCCGGAACGGCCCCTAAAGAAACCGAAACACACAGACACACAAATTACCCCTGCCCCATTTCCTCCTCCCACCCCTCGTGATCCACTTGGGACGATCGATGTATTGGGCACCCCTGATTAGACGATACAGCAAAATGCCATTTTGAGGGCCTGTCTCTTTACACATGTCAGGCAAAATTTCAGAGCCCAAGTGTTTGTTTTTCACTGCTTTCGCTTTGCTCAAACATGTAATAAATGTCCAAAAAGCCATAAATGGGACAAATGACACCAGTGGGCTCCATGATACGCAAATGTTGGCTCTTTGATTATCAACTGAATATTTACTGTTGGATTTTCTAGGCTTTATACCCTTTTCAAGCCATTCTGCTGTGACTGTGACAAGAGTTTTTGGTCTTTCTCCCTTGATGTTTGTTGCGTTAGTCCTTTTTTGCGCATGAGCAGTGACATAAAGGTCAAAGTTTAGCTGTCATCTCACTGGTTGCCCTGTGTACTGTTATCGCTACGTGTTATATACTCCGGTTATGTTAACGCAGGTCAACAGCAAGCCAAACTCATTTATTCATGTGCCAGGGAACTGAGCGTCTTGCTCCATTATTGCGGTCTTCTTGACGACGTACAGTGAACAACTGTGACATCAGCTCAATGAAATGTAGAGTGAAACTGAAATGAACAGATTTAAAACATGCATTAACATCGTGTACACAAATACAACACAAATCGTCTGGTGTTAAACAAAGGACATAAATGCAGCTCAAAGTGTGACAAACAACGATAAACAATGCGTTTTCGCAGCACCTTCGCATGCTAATTAGCTTGTTTGCACTGATTTAGCATTGTCGCTACATTGTTAGCAGTTCTCTGAGCTAGCGAGTTTCAATAACAATTGAGGGAAAACGATCTCCAAAACACATTTCTAAATTCTAAACATGAGCAGACTTACAGCCATTGCTTTCGAAGGTGAAACGAAAGGAATATAACTAAGGAGGACCAGTTGCAACAACCCCGGTCAGGATTTCTGTAACGACTCGTCTGATGAAACATGGCGTCTGCTACCCACAATGCACTGCGATTACTAAATGAGTATTCTAAACAGAATTACTGTTAATGAAATGGCCCGAAACTTTTATTGTGGGCAGAACACCCTGTATATCAATCAAGTAATGGGATTGATGATAGGCTGACATCGTAAATTCTGCTGTACTTAGCGCCGTTGTCTGAATGGCAGCGCCACCGCCGAGGTGTTTTCGTTATTGTCATGTGAAAGCCCGGGAGCCGCATTGAACCAGCCAAAGAGGCACATGCGGCTTGCGAGCCGCAGGTTGACACCCCTGCTTTAGTCCTTTATTTGGTCACAAAGGGCTTGGCTTGTTAATCTGTATATAAGATTGAGTTACTCAGTTACACGTCAGTATGTGAAGCCTTCTATGCCCTGCTGCGTCCAGCCTTGCTCTGTTTTTTTACTTTGAATTTATGCATACAAGTACTTTTACTTTGCTACTTCCGTCTCCTGTCTGCTCCTGGGTCCAAATTCTGGTCCTCAAGTGACACATTCTTTATGGAAGGATTTAAAATGATTATCCAAAAAAATTGTGCTTATCACAGAAATAAAAGATCACTGATGATTGATGGGGCTTTTCTGACAAAATTTATGTTAGATGTGGTCAACATTAAATTTGGAAATGTTTTTTCCCCTCTGGTAGGTACCATGTGCAAGTGACAAACCAAAATGAAAATATACTTTGCTATGTGAATAAAGCAGTATGATTGGACTGCATGATATTGGAAAAACATACCAAATGTCATGTTGGTGTTGAATATAGCACGATCTGTATTATTGTGATATTTACCACGAAACTAAAGAAATTACATTCTTACCTAATGAAAGAATGTGTTTTTTTCCTGTGGCAAAATAAGCAAGCTCAATGTCTTCTTCGCTAATTAATTGTACTGCCCGGAGATACTGTTCATCTGTTAGATGGTGATGCACATTTAAGGTTGCAGTGGACTGATCAAATTCAGATAAAATTAAGAGAATGGTTGGAATCGATCGGGTTTTTTTCCTCTCATATTCCTGAATGTTCTCCTTAGATATCGGGGCATTTAACAGTGAGCTGCCAGACTCCTCGTTCTGTCTTGCCCATGTCAGTCTTGTCGATGTTTCCTCTGAACGGGTTGTAACTGGGAAGTGAATTCCTGGTGTATTTCTTGCACACATGACCAATAAATCTGATTCTGATCAAAGCATAAAATTCAATACGAAACTTGCATCTCTGTGATTTGCATATCGCATGGGCCATTATCGTGATACCGATAGTTTTCCAATATTTTGTGCAGGCTTACTGTTTGAGCTGCTTTAATTTTCATCTCTATAACCTCATTCGTTTCCCAGAAATTATAGAACTCCAGACGATACCAGGGTGTCTGTGACGAGGCAGACACACGCATTTTCTATTGTGTATTATCGACCGTGAGTTTCATACATCAGCAACGTGGGAAGAAGGTTTAACAATCTGGAACATTATCACACATGCACAGTCAATGGCTGTGCAAGGTACGGGAAGTCTGTCCATCCAAGCAACATACAAATAACCATAGTGGTTAATGCACCACAGTGTCAAACTCACTTGTGTCGCAAGCCACATCATTTCACTCAGAGGGCTGTTATGTCTGTGAAACGACTTAAATGTATATAATCATCTCATCCTATTATTAGATATACAAACAAATTGATGGATAGTTTGAAATTAGAAGACCAGAAAAATTGAATGTGTAATTAACAATTGTTTATTTTCTTTTTAGAAACGGTTTGAACAAAAATCATGACAATATTACAACATTATTAAAAGTGAAGACAGTTTGCAATTTTGAGACAGATTTTCACCTTAAACTTGAAGTAAAGGCAGATGAGTTGCTCTAGCAGCGGGATCTGACCCCTGAGCCATGAGTTTGACACAGGGAAAAAACTACTACTACTACTACTACAGTGATTAGTAAAAGTACTGGTAAGTTAAAAGTCAAGTAACCAGCAACCAAACCTTCCAATTTCAAATTGGCCTGCAATCCAACTTTTTAAATGTCACTTTCATTTCGGAGCTGCTAACACAATATATGTCAAGATAAACAACTTCACACAGGATATAAATGGTTTCAATAGAAAGTAAATTTGTCAGTTTTAACATTAGTTCATGATAATAGACGTCCATCACAACTGAAATCGGTTTTCCCTTGCCTCTGTCTCCAAAACGTTATGCTCATTTGGCATTCTGTTGGTTTTCTTTAATGTTTAGGGAGCATTGTCCTGGACCTGATACATATGAAAAATGTCTTCAGATTATTGAATTGACCCTATATAATGAATATATGATGACACAAAGGTAAACATGTATCTGTTGTTTAATATAGGAGTAACAATAATCAGCATGACATAGCAAATCTATGAAGTGAAAGTAATGTTACAGTGGATGTAATGATAGATATGTACAGTAGAACATCGGTTTACAAATGTAATTTGTTCCTTGAACCCGTTCTGAAACGGAAATGTTTGCAAACTGAGGTAAGATTTCCTATTGACATAAATGGAAATGCAATTAATCCGTTCGAGCTGCAAAATAACATTAATTTTACCTATTTTTATCATTGTGTAATTAAAAATTACATTCTGTGCAGTATAGAAATAGATGAAAACACAATTTATGGTGATGACATTACAGTAGCAAATCATTGTGTAGTGTCATAGCCAATATGTTCAGCGTGGTTCCTCCTAGCCCTTATTGGCCACCACCTACTTTTGCATTGTGGGATGTGGTATCCATTTCAGGCAAACAAACACAAACAACAAGCATGGAGCCAATGATGAAACGCGAGAAAAGGCACAAAGTTCTGAGCCTTCTTGAATGCAGTTCCCAAACCTAACCTGTAGAATTGTAATTATCTTTGATATGGTCATGTGACTGCTGAACTCCTATAAAATTCACATATGAGTGTACGTGGTAATTGTCAGGGGACGTGATAGAGGAAATGTGTGTTTGCTGCTCAAGAGCCAACTGCCAGTGCCTGAACGCATGGACTGACCTTCATGCCCATTCAAAAAGTTGGCCAGGCATTTATTTGATGGTGAGCTAAGAAAGGAAAAGTCTCTCACCCAAGGATACTTGATTCAACCCAAGCCATTGGAGAATCTTGCCAGTTACCCTACAATCTGCTTTGTCTGAGCAAGGAGGATGCACTTGTAGCAGACCTTCGCCCACTCTTCCCACTCGCACCCTAGTCTATGGCCCAAAATTCATTCGCTCACTCCCCCACATTCGGAAGTTACGCACACTTCCCTTTGGACAATTGAAACACCAAGTTGTGGGTCGTTTACACCAGAGACGAGCTTTTCTGCACAATTATTGGATGATCTGTCTGAGGTTGAATCTCTTTTTGATTGACAGCGAAATGAACCAATCACCGATCTTTTGGTGTAGGCATCCGTGGGAGCATTTTTCAATTCTCATTCTGTTCTGAGTTGAACTGCAGACTTCTAATGAATTTAGCGACACTCTCTTTGTTGAAAACGACTAGCGACAAATTAATCTTCTGTTTCTGGTGGGTTTTATTGTAGTTGCTTGTGTTCGCACACTGACTTATATCACCACAGTTTCCGTCCTAACCGAGCAGTGGGACACTAGTTAAGTCCCTGGAAAAGACGCCTTGTTGGTATGACAGGGTCACAGATAAGTTTCTTGGAAAGGAACGGAGAGTAGAATTCACGTATAAATAAACGAACACATTATATGTTGTAGGCCGAAATTGATCTTCCCCTCCTTGACAGACCAGCATCCGCCACTGGTTTGAACAGTAATCTGGTGCAACTCAACTGAACTATGCTTAATAACTTGAAACAAAAGGAACGCTGCATCTCAACTTGATGACATTGCATTATTCATGTTGTAGCAAGTATTATTATAATATTGAACCATCGGTGTACTTGCTGACTGATAACGCTTTACATTTACATTGCATTTCCATTCATTTTTCCAACTGTCTATATGTTATGTTTATTTGTCTACTTATTTCTGCTTGGCTCTGGACGAAAGTGGACACTTTTTGCTCTGCTCCCGCTCCCCTCCCACTTAGTTCTCTGCATGCTGACTCAGTCAAATGAGCTGTCTTCTGTCTTAATTATTCTAGCCTCCTGCTGTATTTTTTTCTTCCAAAAAAACAAACCATGTCATTAGCCAACTGGACTCTCAGCACTCTGGATAACATTTTTTCGATGAAAAGAGCCTCTGGGACATCTGCTGCGAGGTACACCTTCAATTCTTGGTAGAAGTGGAAAATGATGTGTCTGACAATAATGTCCGTCGAGGATGTGGAAGACATCTACATGACTGGCATGCCGATAACAGATATCCTGCTGTTTGGAGTTGGCAGTTTGCTGATGTATCGCAAAATTCAGCTGACGGGAACAGCTTCATTAGAGAACAAGCTGCCGGTCTTTCCAGATGGTATGGGGCGGGTGATCAACACTCAAGACTCATATGTTGACTGAACTCAATTGCAAAGATGGTGTTTGAGTCACCTCACAAAATGGAAAAGAACGAGAAATAGTAGCCTGTAAAAATTGATTGAGCATTCGGCTAATTGACGCCTTTGAGAGTCACAAGCTCAGCCATCTCGTTACCTCTGCGTCCCGCATCCTAAACGCATAATTTTCCCGCGGGACGCACAGTTCCAAATGATGTGCGTTTTTGGGACGCAAGGAAATTTCTCAGTCAAAACGAAACAAAAAAAAAAAACTACGGCAGGCCTGAGGATTTCACGGTAACTGTCGTTACCGGTAGTGTGTCATTTCCGTGGCGTCATTTTGACGGTACCGAAAAATCGTTTAACCATAAAAGTCACTGCGCATGAGTTGACTGTACGCCATCAAATCTCTCCTGTGTGATCAATGCGATTTCACTGTGCCTGTATGTGTTTGTGGTGTGGTGTGTGAGTGTGTTTCTTCTAATTTCCTTTCATTTTGTTTTGTTTTTAGTGTTTGGGGCGGGGGGGACAGAACAGATAACGTTATGTGCGCATGCGGGTTGCTATTTTAGTCCGCAAACTGAGGAATCGTGCGGATGAAAGTTTCAGATGGTGGCGAAAAAACTCACAAAGGTCTACTAATTACGACATTTAAGAAATGGGAATGCCAGTCTGATGTTTCGTATGAATCGTCCGAAGGGCGTATCACTAAACTGTGAGGTATGCACAGAACACGAGAGCGAGATACGACGGGAGACACGATTACTAAGTTGGTCATTAGATCTATAGGCTAATCGCTATGAAAAATATGATGAAACAGTATTGGTTATTCTATAATTTACTGGTTGTAGCATGGTAGCTTTATGAATAAAATATTCGTCACAAGGGGCAGTAATGCTAATGTTAATTGTTGGTAGAACTAATGGCGTGTGTTAGATTCTTTCGTCAAATTGATAGATTACACATGCTTCGTCTTGGGAAGAGGATGTCAAACCACATCAATACTGACCTGTATTAATGATTACCAGTAAATTAATCTTTGCAGTGTGATATTGGAAAAAAAATACCTGTACTCTGATTTTGTGGTATGCTGCATTCATGATGCCATATGAGTAGTACATCATATATTGATCCATTTATTTATTTTTTTTAATAAACCTTGAGTACACAGCTGCTGATGTAATGTCCATTGTTAATGCATAGTTTTCAAACATTTACCCCTGAAACATTATACTTTTGAGTTTCAGAATTCTTGATTATGAATATCAGTGAACATAGAAAAATGGGTTCCCATGATGAATGTTTACGGAACCCAAAATTAATTACCGTGGTTTCCCATTGGGTAAGCCGACGGAACCGAAAAATGGTTACCGTGAATTTCCGAAATCCTCAGGCCTGCTCCTGAATTATTTAAATTTTTGCAGCATTTGTTTATAATTGTATGTATATGTTGTTGTTTGTGTTATTATCATATGCAATTGAATCAGTAGACCATTTCAGAATTCGAAATTTGGGACTCTCTAAATGCATAATGGGACTCATACTTTTCTGATCAGCGAGTCCCTGGGACTCGCTGGCGGTAAACTGTAAAATTATCACTGCAAGCTAAAATTCAACTCAACTGTATTTATAGAGCACTTTAAATCAACCACTGCTCTATACAAAGTGCTGTACGTGGAGCCAAAATAATCCATACAACAACAAACAAGAGGGGGGGGGGGCGGTGACCAAACGTTCAGTGGGAGGTCATTCCAAAGTGAGGGACCATCAACAGAAAGGGCTCAATTCCCTCTGAGCCTCCGCTTAGTCCTTCTTACCTCTAATAGTGTCTAGTCCGCAGACCTACCGGGCAGGTGCGTAGCTACGCAGCAGCTCAGAGAGGTAAGATGAGTCGAGGCCATTTAAAGGTTTGAAAATCAATAATAGAATCTTAAAAATAATTCAAAAATGTATAGGGAGCCAGTGAAGGGATGTCAAAGTAGACCTTCATCGAGCATTCTGAAAATTGACCTTGTTGAGCGTCCAAAGCTAAAAGACCTTAAATGCTGTTTGAAATTGTTTACAACCTGCCCCCCCCCCCACCCCCCCAAAAAAAACCCTGTCATCTGGACATTCCCTAATTCCAAAAATGCGCTTGGACGCTAGCATTCCTATCAGCCCCCTTATTCCTTTATATCTTAAGTCTTGCGATCTGTTGTAGATGTCTTTTAAATGGACGCTAAATTTGACCGCCGGTTGGGGACCCCGGGCTACAACTCCTGTAGCCATGACAAAGCTGTTTGTAAACTGAAAATAGTGTGTAACCCAAGCTAATTTTTCTTTATGAAAAGGAAAATAAAATTCTTAAAACGAATTGTTTCTAAATCGTATTGTTTGTAAACCAAGGTTCGACTGTAATTCCTTTATGGAAAACTAAAATAAGAATTATTTTACACTCCTGATTTCTATTTTTGAAAAAAAAAAGACTAACATTCATCATGCAAATATTTTGGGATATTTTTCAAATACATTATTTATAGTTTTTTTTAAAAACCAACCCTTCATTGGACACTCTCATCGTTAGCTGTAATGTTCAATGGAGTAAGCTCCGAAGTCACTGGGCTTCATAAAACTTTCATTTTGTTGAAATGAAGGCTGGCTGCGATAAAGCCTGTTGTTTAGAGAATCCAGTGAGTTGTCCGATACCTATAACATATGAGGCAAATTAAGGATACAAAGTTGTGCAGTTACATGAACTCAACATATATATCCATCCATCCATCCTTAGGACTTTTTTGGAAGAAACGTAAACCATGTCTTTCAAAAAAAAAAAAAAAAAAAGATGACATGATTCATAATTTTACTGCCCAACTACGCATATTTAACACCGCTCATCCAGTTCAGGGTTATGGGGTGCTGGAGCATAGCCCAGCTGATTTCGGGTGAAAGTCGGATTCGACCCAAAACTCGTCGCAAGGCACCTATAGAAACCAACAACCCTTTTCAGCAGGGATGTCCAGCTCCAGGCCTGGAGGGCCATTGTCCTGCCTGTTTTCCATCTCTCCCAGGTGCAACACACCTGATTCAAATAATCAGCTCATCAGCCGCCTCGAAAGCAGCATTACAATGATCCTGATTGTCTGAATCAGATGTGTTGCATTTCAGAGAGATAGAAAACAGGCAGGACAGTGGCCCTTGAGGACTGAGTTTGGACACCCCTGCTTTTCATTTAGTCACAACCCACATTGCCTGCACAGAAGAGTTTTCAAGTTTTTATCACATTTATCACATGTATTTTAAGATAGAGAGATCCAGGTTATGGACATTTATGGAAAGGAATTCTCTGGATGAGAGTGCATTCAGAACCATATGGTTGTTAAACAGGAACTGCACATGTTGAGAAGGGCAACTGGAGGAAGTAATGATATAAAGAGGAAGTACAGGCTTCAGACCCTCTGGAGCATGAGTCATGAACCTTTTTGAAAATGAGAGTGACTTCATGGGTGCTCATTAATGCGAAGGGCTACCAGTGGTGAGACACAATTCTGAACACAATTCCTCAAATTACCTTTAATCATATGTTATGACTATATGCCAGTGTTTACATTCCCAAAGTATCACTTCAAGAACATTCCTAGAAAATCACAATGTACAGTTGGTGGTTTAAGATTTTTTGTTTTTTGTTTTTTTAGACAGGGCTGCGGGCTACTCATGTGGTCCTTGGGGGCTGGAGCCTATCCCAGCTGATTTCGGGTGAAAGTTGGACTCACCAACGTGGGGCCAATAATTGGTGACCCCTGCTCAGGAGTGTGCCCACTGAGATGAGATGATGTAGAACTTTACTCAGCTATTATTAATTGTAAACATGCGGTGCAACTCAGCTTCTGGTTGGGTTGGCAAAACCGGATTATATCCACCGACTCCCTGTGTTACTTTCTTGCCTTTGGTGAAATTGCCACCCAGTGACCAAAAATGTTTACATTAGAATCATTAAACTTAAGTCTTCTAGTCTAATCTTAAAGCCAATAGATAACAGAATTTGCACTTTAAAGGTTAGCAATATTGGTTCTCTTTGACACTTCTACTCGTGTGAAGTAAGCTGAAATCACACTAGGTTTGAAGCATGAAAAAAATGACAAGGAAGTCTGACATCAAAATGTGTCCCTCACAGAGGTGTGGTTTCCAGAAGATGAAGTATCAACTCAAGCATTTTACTCAAGTGGAAGTGTAAAAATTGTGTAAAATTGTAAGAAGTAAACCCCTGCAAAACATTGTATCGCTAATAGCATTCAAGAAAAGATGAACTTACAAAGAATAACTTTAATATTGTTTTTTTAGTGTGTAACAGAAAAGGTTTAAAGTACATACATTTTCCTGAAATTTTAAAAAAGAATTCAACCCTTGTTAAAACGGAATAATTTTGACTGACTTTTTTGAGTGAACCATTTGATACTGAAAACTGAAATAAAAGAAAAAAATCATTCCTTTTTGCATGCACCTCACATCATGCGGCCCTTGTATGAGGCCCTGTGGAGGAAAGGGCTGAAAGATGAAGTGGATTGGTCCCTGGTGATG